TCCACATCCTCTGATCCTTGCAGGTTTGTGTCTGCCCCCTAACAACAGTACATTCCTGCAACTAAGTGTGATTAGGGCGGATCGTTACATTTCTCCCTTTTTAAAAACCATCTTGTTTACAGGCGTTGTAAAGATGATTCATCTCTGCCTTAATGTTAACCAGCTTGGACGGGCTGAAATTTATCTCACTTGGTTCTAGCTAGCATTCCTATCCTACACATGGTGCGAATCAACTGTCCTTCCAACTTGAAAGAGCTTGAGAGAGCAGGGCCTGCTGACGCATCGCTTTTGTTCTTGGGGGAATTGTTTCCATTGTGCTCACTTGAAAAAAAAGGAGAGAAGTTGAAAGCTCTGCTCGTGGCCAGTTCTCTCCATACTCTCCTCAGCTGGGGGCATTCGTGTTTGCTGGAGCTGTTCTGGCTCGCCTGCCTGGGGTTGCTCCTTACATTTCCTGGCTCTTCTCAAGGCCGAACGTTAATTGCTTCAAGCTCTCCCTCTTTATGCCTTTCATCATCCCAAGTTCGTTCTGTAATAGGGACATTATAACCGAGTTGTTGCATTATATTTTCAATTAGGGTAATTATTTGTCGTTTTCTTCAGGATCTCGTTGGCACAGAGCAGCTGTGTTCAACCCCGGCGATGGCTGCGGCTTTACGGTGGCTCCGTTTTTCCAATGTATGGTCTGAAAGTCTTTATTGTTGTAAGTGAACGTCTGAGAAGACTTTAGAGCATTTTAATACCCAAGACTTGATCTTGTACAAATGAAGGAAATGGGAATTTGTCCTTTCACCATCAGTGAAAGTGGATTTGGGTGCTTTGAAGTCCTTGTAAAAGCTGCGAGAGACACGGTGCCCAAAGCCTCATTCCTGCCCAACATCAGGTGGTTTCCAAACAGCTCCAGCTCTTCTCTTCAGACCTACTAAACATAAATAACCTCCAGAAGCCACCACTCCATCCTCTCCCCGTCTGCGGAGGTATTTGGTCTCTCCAAATGTGTCTGATCTGCTCTCACTTGACATTTTTCTAACTTATTCTTAGAAATGATCAATTTAAGCAAGTTCCATAACATGCCCAGATGATCTATTTTGGAATTACAATTACAGAACCTCGTGTCTAATGTTTAACTTCTTGGGCAATTTAAGCCCATTACTGTTTTTCTTCTCTTCAACAGATGCAAATATTTGCACGGGAATGTGAGTCTGGGCTTCCTTCAGTGGTCACACATCCCAAATGCTGCTGCCTGTTCATCCACATTTCCTGCTTGGTGGTGATGCTGTTGCTGTCTGCATCCTCCAGATGAGTTTCCCAGAGTAGGCATCTATAATTAGAAAGAAGATGAGCTTTCAGTGACAGCACTGCAGAAGAGAGCAGCAGTCTGGGGTGAGGTTGAGATTTGTGGGGAAGGAGGGGTTTTGAGTTCCAGACCTCAGTCTTGGATCACAGGGGCTTAAGGCAGAGTTAGTGACTCTTTTTCAAGGGTCTGATGAGTGGTTCCAACTTGGCAAGGTTAATTAGGCTTTGTTGGGGTTCTATGGCAAAATGCTACTTAGAATGGCTCGGGTTGGAAGGGACCTCAAGGATCATGAAGTTCCAACCCCCTGCCACAGGCAGGGCCACCAACCTCCACATTTCATAGCAGCCCAGGCTGCCCAGGGCCACAAACAACCTGGCCTTGAAGACCTCCAGGGATGGACGGGGCATCCACAGCCTCTCTGGGCAGCTGTTCCAGCACCTCACCACTCTCTCTGTCACCGCTCTCTCTCTGCCACCTTTGTGGCTCCTCTGGACCCCCTCCAGCAGCTCCCTTTCTTGTACTGGGGGCTCCAGACCTGGATGCAGTACTGCAGACGGGGCCTCCCAAGAGCAGAGCAGAGGGGGACAATCACCTCCCTGTCCCTGCTGGCCACCTCTCTTCTGATGGAGCCCAGGATCCCGTTTGCTTTCCAAGCTGCAGGAGCACACTGCTGGCTCATGTTAAGCTTTTCATCCATCAGGACCCCCAGGTCCTTCTGTGCAGGGCTGCTCTCAAGGAGCTCCTTCCAGTCTGTATAGATGCCTGAGGTTCCTCCAGCCCAAGTGCCTAACCTTGCACTTTGCTGCATTGAACGCATGTCTTGAGCTCATGTGGGTTCTCTCCCTACAGCTGGCCAGACCCGTTGATTTTGGGGAAGCCCGATGGACTTCTCCCACACCTCCCTGTTTCCTCTCCAGCAGTTCTGAATGCTGTTCCATCAGCTGCATGGAGGCTGTGTCCCACACGAGCCGGCTCCATCCTGCCACGGCCCTTTAGCACCAACACTTCCTGAGCTCTGCTCCCTCTGCCAGCCCCTCAGGGACTGCTGCCTCCCAGCAGGCTTTGACTCCCCTCGGTTTAGTGTCACCGACGTCTTTCAGAAGCACAGCCTGCCTTACATTTTCCAATTTGCTAATGAAACCACTGAAGGAAAGCAGGCCCAGAAGAAATTTGTGTGGAATCGCTGTTGAAAAGCCCCTTCTGGTCGAGCCCAGTCACTGACAAGCAGCAGCAGCATCGTTTGGGGATGCATTCGGATGCTTTGTGACTCGTGCACGTGTGTGGTTTACGGTCGCTTTCTGTACCACCATCCTCCCAAAGTGCTGGGATAGCCTGGTCCTGCCTGCAGCCATGCTGAGTGCCCATGGGCAGCTTCCCTGCTTCTAACCTAGGTTGTACTGCCATGTCATGGCTTTTGGTGATGCCTATAAGCCCTGCTCCAGGGCTGCGTGGTGATGGGATGCTGCTAACAGTGCAGGTAGCAGCCTTGCAAACTTCCTTTGACCTCTTTTCCGTGGAGTTGTTGCACCACTCTTGGTTCTTTTTTTTTTTTTTTTTGCTTTGCTCAGTAGTTAATTTGTTTATTATGAAAGTTAGAATAAGATTAAACAAACTGTTAATGCTTTTATGTAGCTTAATGAGAAGAAAATGTTTCTGAGGGATGAAAACCACTACACAAGTTTAAAGGGGGGAGAGGACGGCTGAAAAAAATCGAAGTCCACAACAGACTCAGGAATTTGTTCCACTTATTAATTGAAAACAAAAGCAAGTCCCTTCGGTTCCACTGTCCCCAGAATGTCCTCCTTGCATTGTTCCAGATCTCTTTTATTTTGCCTCTGGAGATTTCCCTCCTCTGTGCTCGCAGCTGAATTTATTTAGGTTACTTGGGAGTCGCTGTCCTGCAGCCGCGCGGCGGGCGGCTCTCGTTGGGAGTGAGGTTGCAGGGTCAGCCTTGTAGCTTCTCATTCTCCAAAACTGCCTGGAGCCCCTCTGGTTAATGGCTGAGCCTGAGAGATGCAGGAAGGACCTCCACAGTTAGTTCCTAAAGATTTCCTGCTGTTAATTAATGTATGTGCAGTAACTTGAAGCTCTTGGGGTGTCCTTGCAACGCGTTTGGGGCATCTGGTGTTGTCACCTTATCACAGGACCCCAACCTGGCTGAGGATGGAGCCCCTCTGGTTCCATCCAGCCCTGCAGCACCTTAAGACCCCACGCTGGGCTCTCCTCACTGGGTCCTTCCTTGCCAAACCAACAGTGAGCCTTGTAATAAACCAGAAGTCTTAGTGCTGAGTGCTGGGAGCGGTGATTGCGGTGGGTGAAGGTGTACAGAAGTGCTTCCTGCGGTCAGAGGGGACCTCTTGTGCTCCAGTTTGTGTTCAGTGCCTCCCCAAGCTCAACCCTATGATTCTATGATTCTAACCCACCCCACCGTGCACATCCCCCAAATGCCACATCCTCATGGTTCTGGAACACCTCCATGGATGGTGACCCTGCACTGCCTGGGCACCCTGTGCCCAACCGCTCTTCCCACAACGACATTTTCCCTAATATCCATCCCTATTTTCAGATGAGCACTGCAGTAGCGTAAGGCCATGCTGGGACCTCTTCTTCATGGAGGCGTTTGCCCATGATGGATATCTTGGAAAGATTTTTCTAGTTGACCTTTTGGTAAAACCAAAGTGGAGTTTTAACGCGTGTGCAGAAATTGCGAAACTTCACGATACGATCCAGGAGCTTTTCCAAGTCTTCTACAATGGTTTTATTTAGCCAGCATAGTTCAGAAATGCAAACCAGAGGGATGTGTCAGCGAGCACAGCCTTCCATCGCTGGGTCATTGCTGCCATGAGTGCGGTGGGACAGAGCCTCTCATAGAGTCAGAGAATGGCCTGGGTTGAAAAGGACCACAATGAGCATCCAGCTCCAACCCCCTGCTGTGTGCAGGGTCACCAACCAGCAGCCTAGGCTGCCCAGAGCCACATCCAGCCTGGCCTTGAATGCCTGCAGGGCTGGGGCATCCACATCCTCCTTGGGCAACCTGTGCCAGTGCGTCTCCACCCTCTGTGTGAAACTGCATATGTTCAATGTGTTGAAACTTGTGTGTGGGTCACCTTCTCGTGTCTCCTGAGCTGCTGGGTCCATCACTATGAGAAAGGCATTGAGGCTCTGTGTGCAGAGAAGGGCAATGGAGCTGTGAGGGGTCTGGAGCACAGCTCTTATGGGGAGCAGCTGAGGGAATGGGATGGCTGAGTTTGGAGGAGGCCCAGGTAGACTTTATAGCCCCTAACAGATGTAGTTGTACACGAGTTGTCATCTCCACGTTATGTTTGTGGCCATGCATTGTGAGCACCCTGAGCTCCACTGCTGTGGGGCAGCACTAGATGGCACTCTGTCTCCAGCTTTCACCTTCCACCAGCAGAGCTCTGCTAAGCTGCAAGGAAAAGCAGAGCACCGTTGTGGCACGTGTAGTTTTAGGAAGCTGTGTCTCTTTTTGCCTTTATTCCAAAGCGGAATTGTGCTGTTAAAGCTTAGAGATAGGAAGGGGAATGAGATTTGGCAGCTGTAGAGCTGATACTTTTCCTTTGTAGCTTCCCTCTCCCCTTTAATATATATATATATATTTTTACAGCTTGGATTGTGGTTATTTCTTGTCAGTAATGACGCTGACAGGTTTTGGAATCGTGGCTCACTGTGACATCTTCTTTTTTAGGTCTGTTTACGATGGAGAGGAACACGGTCGTTTCATGGAAAAACTGGAAGCACGAATCAGAAACCACGATCGGGAGATTGAGAAAATGTGCAACTTCCATTACCAGGGTTTTGTGGACTCCATCACAGAGCTGCTGAAAGTTAGGGGAGAAGCCCAAAAGCTGAAGGTAAGAGAAAGCTGCTGGATGCGGCCCAGGGCAGCTGGCTGCAGGTGGCCCTGTCTGAGCAGGAGACTTGGACAAGGTGACCTCCAGAGATCTCTGCCAACCTCAAGTGCCCTGTGGTTGACCAACCAAACAGACATCTCCTTTTGTCCAGAGCCTCTCCCCTCTGCCTGGGAAAAACCAAACCAAACCCAACAACAATGTTAATTCTTTCTCCCTGTAATGATCAGTTAGTCATATGAAACTCGACAATTATTTTGGCAAACTGGAATGCTGTGGTACATCAGAAGTGTGAGGAAGATTAAAGCTAGGCCTGTTCTGTGTTAGTAAACATGTGTTTTTCCTGGGATACCTTCGGCCAACTTCTTAAGCTCTGCAGTCAGCAGCATGTCTGCTGTAGCACCATCCACTTCAGTGCCTCATCTGACATCAGATTCTCATTGCAGAGGGCGTTGAGTTTGAGTCAGATCTGCAGAAGTGGCACGGGTTGCCTGGAGAGGTGGTGCCTCCATCCCTGGAGACATCAGGTCAGGCTGGAGGGGCTCTGAGCACTGATGGAGCTGAGGGTGTCCCTGTTCATGGCAGGGAGCGAGAGCAGAGGGCCTTTAGAGGTCCCTCCCATCTCAAAGCGTTCTGTGGTTCTGTGGAAGCAGTCTGGTGCAGAGCTGACCTTAATTATGAGATACCTGCATGTTGCTGGCAGGTGAGATATTAATATTCAAAAAATGAACTTCAGAACATTGTGAGGTGCTCAGAGGAAGCAGGAACAGCAGTGAGAAATAAGTAATAAGTACAACAAGAATGTTTGCACAAACCCATGGCTTGATTCCCTTTCTCCAGCATCTCCAGGTGTGGTTGGTTTAACTAGAAAGTAAAATGGATAGAGCAGGGAGTGGGGAAGGTAAAATGGTTACGGCTAGGAATGAGTTTTGCAAGTATGGTGGCCTTTAAGCTGTACAAAAAGATATGAGAAAGGGAGGTTTTCATCTGTTTATTGGAAGAAATGCGTTCAGCAGTGTGTGGAAAAAGGTGTGTGTATGATTGGAGTGTAGGTAAGTGGTAGGAAGGAAACTAGGCAGGTTTCTGGGGACACGAAGGGTCTGGAGCTTGATGGTGGTCCTATATGCAGTGGCCAAGTATGCTTGTGGTTTAAGCATGGCTTCTGTGCCTTAGAATGGGAATATTACACAGTCTGGGGCATATGAGACATACATGACATTGGAATAACTTGGTGAGTGTCAGAGATTGGAGAGCTTTCCTTGTTTTCCTCCAGAAGTTGGAACACAGCTGGGTGGAGTCTGTTGAGGAGATCCTTTCTGGAGGGTGTGTGGGATTGCTTGTTGGGACCTAGAGGAGATAAAGCCATAAATAAGGGAATCAAAGTCTCAGAAAAGCACATTTTCTGGAAAAGAAAAAAAAAAAACACCCAGAACCATTTTAACTTCAGTGTTTTTTTTTTTTCCCACACATTTATTTATTCATTTAAAGCCACCTTGGGCATTTCCATGCAGGCTTCTAGATAGGCACAGCCCTGATGCCACAAACCAACGTGTGCTTCCAGGATCACCTTTGTGGGGATGTTTCCTTGCATCAGAGGCACTCTTATTAGGACAAGGCCATTGAAAATACGACGAAAGAAGACTTTTTTTGTTGTTGTTGTTGTTTTAATTATTATTATTTTTTTTAAAAGCCATTGTTTATAGCCAAGAATTCCACATTGTTTGTTTTCAAGGGCTTGTTGCTGTTTCCCATTCTGCAAACAGCTGCTTTGTTGGTGGCACGCTGTGAAGTCCATCTCTACCCTCAGGATCTCTCTTGATTTCCATCACTATGTGATCTATTAAACAGCACATTGGAAAAATACACACAGAAGCCTATTGGAGAAATACTGAGCCCTCTTTGTACGGGTTTCTCCAGGGAATCATCTGCGAGTCCAGTGGTGAGAGTGAGTTTTGTTCCAGCTATTCAGTCTGCATTTGATCTCAGCCCTTTTCTCAGTAGTGCAGGTCTTTGAATGGACATCCAAGCAGCTATAAAGTAAATGCCCTCCATATTGCATCTCTACTATGCATCCTAAATAGGAGCCAGTACTGCCCTGTTCCTGCTCCCACTTCACACTCCCACTGACTGTTGGATGCCTTAGACCAGCCCAGCTCCTGCACCTCACAGAGATTCCACTGGAAATTAAAAGACAGATTATAAACTAGAATGGTTCAGCTTGTAGACGTGACTGGAGAACAGATCTCAGAGGGAAAGGGCTGCTGACAACCTCAGCAATCCCTCTCATCTCAATCACGTTATGCTTCAGCTGGGTCACTCCTGATGGATTTCTCTCTAACCCTAACCTTAACCCTAACCTTAACCCTAAGCCTAAGCCTAAGCCTAAGCCTAACCTTAAGCCTGAGCCTAAGCCTAAGCCTAAGCCTAACCCTAAGCCTAAGCCTAACCCTAACCCTAACCTTAAGCCTAAGCCTAAGCCTAACCCTAACCCTAACCCTAACCTTAAGCCTAAGCCTAAGCCTAACCCTAACCTTAAGCCTAAGCCTAACCCTAACCTTAAGCCTAAGCCTAACCCTAACCTTAAGCCTAAGCCTAAGCCTAAGCCTAACCCTAACCCTAACCCTAACCCTAACCTTAAGCCTAAGCCTAAGCCTAAGCCTAACCCTAACCCTAACCTTAAGCCTAAGCCTAAGCCTAACCCTAACCTTAAGCCTAAGCCTAAGCCTCCCACCAGGTATATGGAAAATTTGCTGCTCTTGGTGTAAGATCAGCAGCCCTAGGCTATCCTAGAGGGTTGTGCTTCTGATGTCTTTTACTGCCTTTAGTTTCCTACTGTGAAGTCTTTTCAGTTGACAAGGTTCTCTTTTGGTGTTTTGCTCTAAATGTGTTTTTTTAAGCTGGACCAGTCAAAGTGAAGCAGTGCATAGGGTTTACAAATCAGAGCTTTGTAGGGCTCTGAGGGAGAGAAGATTTAGGTTGGATGTGAGGGGGAAGTTCTTGACAGAGAGAGTGGTGAGGTGCTGGAACAGCTGCCAGAGAGGCTGTGGATGCCCCGTCCATCCCTGGAGGTGTTCAAGGCCAGGATGGATGGGGCCCTGGGCAGCCTGGGCTGCTATGAAAGGTGGAGGTTGGTGGCCCTGCATGTGGCAGGGGTTTGGAGCTTCATGATCCTTGAGGTCCCTTCCAACCTTGGCCATTCTATGATGCTGTGGTTCTCTGTTCATGCATACCAACCAGATGTAGATGCAACATCAGGTAACAGCGTCGCATAGGCTGGTGTTCACTTGTGCTCACTGCGCTCACCGGGTCCTTCTTTGGAGCTGCTGTCCTGGTGTGTGCTGCTAAAAGTGCCCTGGTCTCACAGTGGATTCCTATAGGGAGTGGATAAATGAGGAGATGGTGATGGATAATTAACCCTGTCCGTGGGTGCACCTCCGGATTGGGAAGTTGGTTGCCAGCTGGAAGGCCCACTTGACAGCCACCCCTCCCCTCGTCTGAAAGGGATGTGAACAACCCACATAGGTGGGTGCTGACACGAGATGGAGCCAGCACAGCTCTTCAGGGTCACACGGGTGCCCTTGGCATCCATTCCCAGGATTCCTCTCCAGTGGCCTTTGCTCTCCTCTCTCATCACTCTGACATTCTCTAAACGATAGCAGAGCGATGCTTAAAGCCCGCAAACAAAAGCCCTGCTCAGTACCACATGTTCCCCATAGAGATGAATGAACTAACAACTCAAGCATCCTGTGAGCCCCTCGTGTGATCCACTCGTCTCGTTCTTCACATGTGCCCACCTGTTGTCTGTCCCCCCCCCCCACCTTGCTGTGCATCTGCATTAAATTATCAGATCCCTCCGTCTGAACAGCTTCGCTGTGTCTACTGAGAGTCCCTATAAATAATCACCCATCTCTTTTCATTGTGTATGGATGTAGATCCTGAGAACGAAACAAAACACAGCCCCCTGCCTCCAAAAGCTCGGTGTGCCGGGGGGTTGCATCTTTGCTTTAGCCAGGATCGATATGTAATTTTAATAGAAGACTCATACAGCCTTGGCATTATTTTAGGAGCAGTTTTAAATTACCCGACATGGATTCCTTTTTCCTGGTGGGATTTGCAGGATATAAGAAAATAAAATAATCTTTTGGAAGAGATGCCATGCTCCTGCTTGTAAAATCTCAATACATCATAAAGGAAATGAGCAGTTTTTGCACAGGGCAAGCAGCCAGGAGAGCTGAAGCTACTGCAGGAGGGGGAGCGATCTGATGCAGATGCTGTGCATGGATGTCATGAAATGAGTGCTCTTCTTGCATTGTGGCAAGCTACTAATGGCCAGCATTAGGCACACAGGGAGAGCTGGAAGGCATGCATCATCCACGTTCTGCTGGGTAATTGGAGAATACTTTCACTGGACACCTTCACTAGTGATGAAACCATCCTGAATTCATGGCTGCTCTGTTTTGGTGGCAGCTGGAGAGCTCTGCACTCTGATGCTGCAGCTGTGAGGAACTTCTACGTGGAGAAGTCAGGACAACTTAGAAGCACTGACCTATGAAGGCAGGCTGAGGGAGCTGGGCTTGTTCAGCATGGAGAAGAGAAGGCTGTGGGGTGACCTCATTGCAGCCTTCCAGGACCTGAAGTGAGCCTACAAACAGGAGGAGAGTCAACTCTGTGAAAGGGTAGATAACAGCAGGACAAGGGGAAATGGTTTGAAGTTGAAGGAGGGAAGACTTAGGTGGGATGTGAGGGGGAAGTTCTTGACAGAGAGAGTGGTGAGGTGCTGGAACAGCTGCCCAGAGAGGCTGTGATGCCCCGTCCATCCCTGGAGGTGTTCAAGGCCAGGTTGGATGGGGCCCTGGGCAGCCTGGGCTGCTATGAAATGTGGAGATTGCTGGCCTGCCTGTGGTGGAGGACGGGTGGTGGAGCTTGAAGACCCTTAAGGTCCCTTCCAACCAAGGGCATTTTATGGTTCTATGTACTGACTGGAAGCCAAGCTTTTATTTGACTTGTGGGATGTTATGCTCTTGAATAGACACATATATAAAAAGCAAGTGCCCTATTGCAATTTACATTTCTGTCCGAGCTCTGTTTCTGGTTTTTGTGTGTAGAATGAACAGAACTCCTCCAAACACACATGAACTGGTTCATAAAATTGCATGATGCCAGTGGAAGCCCAACTGCAGGTATAGTAGACCTGAGTACAAGAAGAAAGCTCTGGGAGATCCTAAAAGGACAAGCCTGGAAGTGACAGTTTGCAACATTAATAGCTAGAAAAAAAGGATTCTGTGGGAGAAACAAAAAGTAGTTTTGTGGCACGTTAATTTTGCACTGTGAGGCACCTTCGTGCCGTGCAAGAGAATGGCGTGTGAAAGGCAGCGTGCTGATGTGTGTGAGCAGTTTCTTCTCCTGAAAAGCTTTGTCCTGATTTACGTGTACTTGTGTTCTTTCTCTCTCCCTTCCTATCCCCACAGAACCAAGTGACGGACACCAACCGAAAGCTGCAGAGTGAAGGAAAAGAGGTGTGTGCTGCACTCACTCGCTGTCTTTTCAGCTTTTCCAGAACGTGGCGGTGCTTGGTGGTGGCAAATGACTGAGCAGTGGTAATTGCTAAGCATGGCGTGGGTGCCCCAGCACAAGAAAGGTGTGGAACTCTTGGAGAAGGTCCAGACAAGGGCCACTAAGATGACCAGAGGGCTGGAGCACCTCTCCTATGAGGAAAGGTTGAGGGAACTGGGCTTGTTCAGCTTGGAGAAGAGAAGGCTTTGGGGAGACCTCATTGCAGCCTTCCTGTGCTTGAAGGGAGCATATAAACAGGAGGGGGAACTGTTTACAGGGGAGGCTGTTTACAAGGGTGGCTGGTGATAGGACAAGGGGGAATGGTTTTAAAGTGAGACAGGGGAGGTTTAGGTTGGATATGAGGAGGAAGTTTTTCACTCAGAGGGTGGTGAGGCACTGGCACAGGTTGCCCAAGGAGGCTGTGGATGCCCCATCCCTGCAGGCATTCAAGGCCAGGCTGGATGTGGCTCTGGGCAGCCTGGGCTGCTGGTTGGTGACCCTGCACACAGCAGGGGGTTGGAACTGGATGCTCATTGTGGTCCTTTTCAACCCAGGCCATTCTGTGATTCTATGATTCTCTCCTCCTACATTGTTGTGTGTCAGACCAATGACTCCAATGAAGCTGACAGATAAAACTGCCCTGTGGGGAGGAAGTGATGCACTTTGCCAGAACCAAATAAACATTCCCATTAGCTTGAGTGGAGGATTCTCCTTTATGCTCCAGAAGTAGACCAGCCAAGGCTTTCACAAACCCCATCCCAGGGGTTGGGACTGGCTGGCCTCACAGGGCCCTTCTAACCTCAGCCATTCTGAGATTCCATACACAGTGCACTGGAGCACAGAGCTGTGGCCTTCCCCTCGGAAAGGACCAAACCAAGGAGTTCTCTCTGGTGTACATCTCTCCGTCTGCTTGCTGTTTTCAGTGAGACTTTCTTTTTCCTTTTCCAAAGCTGATAATAGCAATGGAAGAGCTGAAGCAATGCCGACTGCAACAGAGGAACATTTCAGCGACGGTTGATAAGCTGACGCTGTGTCTTCCCGGTGAGGAGCCCAGAATTTCTCTTTATTTGTTCAGCTGTTGATTTGAATGCACGTCTCTTTGCTCTGTGTTTCTGTCTCAATACTTCTGTGTTTTTTTTTTTTTTGTTTTGTTTTGTTTTGTTTTGTTTCTCTTTCCAGTTCTGGAGATGTACAGCAAACTGCGAGAGCAAATGAAATCGAAAAGGTAAATTTTGCATAGCAAAAGTTGTAGTGGAGGGGCTGAAAAGCTTCCATTTGGTGCTGCTTGAATTCCACAAAGAGCTTCTCGATGCTCAGCAATTCCATGTCAGCATTGCCACGTTAACAGATCTGATTTCTGCTGGTGTCTCTGTGGCTCAGCCTCCCGTGGTGCAGACCAGACCTCATTTCATTCTGCCTCTAGGCTTTCTGATGAAGATGGATGTTTGCTGTTCCTTTTCTTTTTGTCTGTGGAAGCTTGCCTTTGGGATGGACTTCCCAAATCAGTGCATGGCTCCGTACTTCTACGTTCTTCACGAAGTGCTGTGCTGGGGGCACCAGAATACAGAACTGACCTAATCTGGAAGAACCCAGTGAATGTGAACAAGAGCCAGAGAGCTGAGAAACGCTGAGCAGGGCAGTAGGAGGAGGTGGTGAGAAGGCACCCGGCTTACTTTGTGCTAGAAGTCATCGCTCGGAAGAGTGAGCTGAACTGAAAGGGCTCTGTGGCTCAGAACTCACAGACTGTAAATCCAGGGTTTTTCTCACCCCACAGCTGTCATGTTGCTGAGGAATTACAGCCCAGGCATGGCCGGGCTCCTGGGGGCTGGTTTTGTTTGAGCAGCACGGGATTTTGGAGGCCCTGGGGGGTGGCAAACTGGGCATAGAGCAGCTGCTGGGGCGAGGGCAGTGGAAAATGTGCTGGGCTCCAGCTGAATGGCACGTGGGGAGGGCAGCCGGGTCTGCTGCTTGCTCTGTGCCTGCCATCCATCATGCACACAACGCGGGAGGAGCCAGATGTTTCCAACAAGGCGATAACTAATTGGATGGGCGGAATGCTACACTTCCCCTTCTGCCTGCACTCATCTCTGTGGTCCTCGGTCCCCAGGAGCCTTGGGGGAATGGATAAGCATCACTCCTGGAATCGGGGCTGGCTGGAGAGGTGCTGGGGAGCCTGTCAGCTGTGCACGAAGCTTGCTCTCGTTCTCTGGATGGCTCAGTGCAGGGCAGGCTGCACTTTGTCCAACTGTTTTCATTCTGTTCATGGGAACAGCGAGGGGTTTATCCGCTGACAGATGTGGGGTGGGGAGCTGGAGCAGATCACAGCACTGTGAACTTTTGAAGGGAATCCACATGCTGCTCAGTTCCCTCGTTCAGGGTAGTGTTTCCAGGGTCTGGTTCTAAGAATTGCATCTTTTTTTTTTTTCCTTCCCCTTATTGGACTGGTTCATTTTGAAACAAATAGAAGCTGAAAGCCACATTTAAGGAATATCTGAACCCTTGGCTTTTTGCTTTTTTTTCTCCCTCCTTCTTTGGATTTGATGGCTTCATTCACCAAATGCAGCACAACATATTAAATATTTCTGTGTCTGCACCCGGTCTCACTTATATGTCATTTCTTCATAGCCAGTGAGGGGTTTGGTTACTGTGTGAGGAGCCTCAGGTTTGGGCTGCAGAGCAGCAGGGTTGGCATTCGGGCTGAACGAACTCAACTCTTCCAAAGTAGACAAAGATGTGCTATGCGCTGTTTGCTGCCTGATGGTTATAATGTGAGTGATTTCCAACTAGAAGAGGGGAGATTTAGATGGGATATAAGGACAAGGTTCGTGATGAGAAGGGTGGGCACAGGTTACCCAGAGTGGCGGCGGTGCCCCTGGAGGCGTTCAGGTCGGGCTGGCTGGGGCTCTGAGCACTGATGGAGCTGTGGGTGTTCCCGTTCGTGGCAGGCAATGGGACTGATGGCCTGTAGAGATCTGGGTGTGCTCTGCACGTCTCAGTGCTGAGCTGTGCATTGCCTCCACGTGCTCTGGGCTCTGGTTTTGGCAGGCAGTCGGGGACCCCATCAATGCACACCCGCTGTTCCCGCAGGCCGTGTTTGAGCTGCTTCTGGTTCAACAAACAATGCCTTAAAATACAACAAACCCCCAATGCGTGTTTATTCCTCTGGTTTAATTTCTGGCTTTCTGCGTGCTCTGAAGTTTCCCTCCAGAGAGGATTGCATTTTATTGCAAATAGCATTTTGTATCTCACCCAAATGTAAACGCTGACCGGGTTGCTGGGTTAATCCCTTTGACTTCTGATTTTCAGGCAATTTCGGGTTAAAATAACTTCCCTTTGGAACTGCCTGGGGTTTAGGCAGGAGTGAATATGAATGGGGATTTGAGTGTGAGGTTATTGCCTTGGCACTTAACGCGTTTCTTAGGGCCTTCAGGGTGCAAATGGAAGTGCTTGTGGCTGGGATTAAGCATGGGCAGAGTGAGCAGTAGTTGCCTTCATTCACCTGAGAGGGAACTGTCACCTGGTGATGCCTTAAATGTATTTTGCAGGCACTGCTAATGCTTCCAAGGCACTTGCCTGCCATTCAAGATGGCAACTTCAATATACAGTTTTAAGATATGTATCTCTTACAGCGGAGGAATAAATTACTCCAAAGCAAAGCAGAGATTATGGACAGCAGCAGTTCAGCAGGAGCTGGAGAAGGAGGGACCTTGCAGGAGAAGTGTCCTTTGGGCCCTTTATATGGGGTCACACTGAGGTTGTCTTCATCTCTATCTAAATCAAAGCGTGTCCTGGATGGAAAGCATTTTTTAACAGTGCTCAGCAGCATTTGAACAGCTGGAAGGAAGGTGGGGTCTGACTGCTTCTATGCACAGGAAAGAAACCTGAGAGCTCTCACATCCAAGACACTTAGAACAGAATAACAAGTCTCTGTGTTAGGAGCACATATTGCATACCAATTTGTCAGCCTGAGGTACATTATGGTGTATTCCCATCTCCACCCTCCTGTCTTATGGCACCTCACTGTTAGAGGTCACAGAATGCAGCAGTGCCTACCCCATATCTCACACAGCAACCCCGTGGTCTGGGGGTGCTTTGGAGACCCTTCCTTTTGGGGAGGTTCTGGGGACAGCATGGCCTGGTGCAGGTGGGTGAGAGCTGCTAATGAACTCAGCTGGTGCAGTACCTCATTACCCAGCTGGTCCTCATCTGTGCATCACAGCTCTGAGCTGTGACTCTCACAGCGTGCCTCTGCTTCTCAGTTTCAAAAGGAAAAGGCTGTTTGCATGGTTATCTGAATCAAAGATGTGCACTGCTTTCAACAGAGCTGAAATTGTTAGATCTACTGAAAATTTACACAGTTTGAAGAAGAAGTAGGATAGAAATAGCTGTTCTTTTCCTGCATCTGCTTTGCTTGCTGTCCTCAGGCACTACCCAGCACTGAAGACCCTGGAGCACCTGGAGCACACCTACCTGCCCCAGGTGAGCCACTATCGCTTCTGCAAGGTGATGGTGGACAACATCCCAAAGCTGCGTGAGGAGATCAAGGAGGTGTCCATGTCAGACCTCAAGGATTTCCTGGAGAGCATTCGTAAGCACTCAGACAAGATTGGGGAGATGGCGATGAAGCAGGTAAGGGCTTGTTCTGTTTGGGGTAGGAGGGTGGCTGCATTAAGCTGAGTTCTGTCTTCTTGCCATTAAAGGCTTCACAATGATTTTGTTTTGAAAGGTGAAACGATGACCGTTCTGTGGTCGCTGCTGGAGCTTACCTTGTGATTTTTGCACTGTTGAAAACTGGTGGTTTGTTTTCATCGTCTTCTCCCATCTGCACTTTGCTGCAGGCTCCTGCTGCCCCAGAGGTGCAGGCAGGGTGTGTGCCTCGTGGTTTGCCCTTAAGGATGTTTGAATTGCTGTGCCTGGTGGGAGCTGGAATGCTCTGAGACACCAGTGCTGATTTTACAGGTGCAGATTAATAGAAGTGCATCTTCTGATGCACCCTGACTTTTGTTTTTTGTGTCTAAAGCTGATTTTCAGATACTGGCAAACCTTCCTTGTGACTTGTGCTTGCCTAGCTGTAAAAAGTGAACCTGATCAACTAAACGTGCACGTGCTTGTATTTAAGTGGGATTGCTTATCCACTGATTCCTTTAATATTCACGTTTTCCATTTTGATTTGGATTTTCTAATCAAAGCCAGAGAGCTCTGCTCATCATTTCCATTAAAACAAGCTTTAAATTCAGATTGACTGGTAATGAAACAAAGTGGTGCCTCTTGATCTTGATAACGATAGGACAAGGAGGAATGGTTTTAAACTGAGACAGGGGAGGTTTGGGTTGGATATGAGGAGGAAGTTTTTCACCCAGAGGTGCTGAGGCACTGTTACAGGTTGCCCAAGGAGGCTGTGGATGCCCCATCCCTGCAGGCATTCAAGGCCAGGCTGGATGTGGCTCTGGGCAGCCTGGGCTGCTGGTTGGTGACCCTGCACACAGCAGGGGGTTGGAACTGGATGCTCATTGTGGTCCTTTTCAACCCAGGCCATTCTGTGATTCCTGCTTCCTCTGCCAGTAGCTGCCTGGTTGGACTTGGTGGCTTATGGGAAGCACTCTTGCCAAAGCTTCTCCCAAGAAAAAAAGTGGTGGTGTTACATTCATGGCTGGAAGCACAGGAGGGTTCAGTTCACTTATAAACACTGTTCTTTCTGTAAAATTGACTGGCTTTGTTGCCTTCTCAATCTCTTTATGCGTTGGGAAAACCAACTCTTAATGCCATGTAGAAGAGCTGTGAAGAACAGAGGGCTTGGAAGGGGTGCATCATTCTACTCCTTCCAGTCCAACCCTTTTATTAGCTGTTGCATTAAATGAAGCTGACTTCTCTAAACCTGCAGAACCCTTCCTCCCCAGTGAGCTGGATGTCCTGCTGCAGAGCCAGACATGCATGGTGGCATGGTGGGAGCCCCCGAGGTCATCGTGCTGAATTTACGTGGTACAATGGTTTTTTTGGAAAAAAGATACTAGCAAAAAGAAGAAACCAAAAAACAACCACCCAAACAACTTGTTGGTTGTGACATCCGAACTTTGAAACAAATTATCCTTTGGTTTCTGTGGCTCTGGGTGGGAAGGAAGAAGTTTAATTTGCTTTTTGGTCCCCAATTAGTGCAGCAAATGTGCTGCTCTAAGTAAATAAATAGTTATTTATATCCCATTAAGGATATTCACCAACCATAAAGGCATAAAGGGATGCAGATGTGTCCTCTTCCCATGGTTCCCAGCCTTGCTCTTGTGGTGCTGGATGAGACTGGTGCTCAAACCTCATGGCACCACGGCTGTGTTTGGGAGGTTCCAAATCCTTTGGCATAGGCAGACCCATTTTGAGCATTTCCCAGTTATTTCAAGGAGAAACAGGAGGCTGGAAATAAAAAGCCCCCAGGGTGTGCTTTCTTTCCTCCCATGGCAGCTCCCTGGCTTCATTTTCCTCCCTGATTTTTGGCTGTTAGGCCATTTCTCTACACTTAGCCTTTTGTCTCTCGTTGCTTATCTCCACTGCTGATGTTTTCAGCTTTCCTGAAGCTCATTATTTGTTTTTTTGGCTCTAGATAGCTGTGATCCTGCACCTGGGAAGGGCTGACTGCAAACATCAACGCAGGTTGGGGGCTAGCTGCTGGAAAGGAGCTCTGTGGAGAAGGACCTGAAGGTCCTGGTGGACCAACGGGGTGACCAAGAGCCAGCATTGTGCCTTGGTGCCCAGGAGGGCTAATGGGATCCTGGGGTGTATTGCACAGAGTGTGGACGGGAGGGTGAGGGAGGTTTTCCTCCCCTCTGCTCTGCCCTAGAGAGGGCACATCTGGAGCACTGTGCTCACTGCTGGGCTTCCCAGTTCCAGGCAGACTGGGAGCTGCTGGGAGAGCCCAGTGGAGGGCTGCAGAGCTGGTGGGGGCCTGGAGCACCTCCTGAGAAGATCTTACCAATGCTTATAAATGGTGGAGGTGAAGTGGATAGGGTCAGACTCTTTTTGGTGATGCCCATCAACATGATAAGGGGCACTGGGCACCAACTGGAATATGCACAAAATCCACCTGAACATGAGAAAAAGCTTCTTGACATGGAGGGTGGGAGAGTTCTGGCACAGCTGCCCAGAGGGGTGATGGAATCTTCTTCTCTGGAGATACCCAAACCTACCTGGACTGTTTCCTGTTCTGTAAGTAACTTGGGTGAGTGTTGGACTGAGGGGTCTCCTTCCAACCCATACATTTGCATGCTTCAGTTGCAAACGCAGAGCTGGAAACGATGCTGGTATTCCAGCTAAATGCTGAGCTTATTCTTGCAAAGAGCATCACGTTCTGCCTGGAGGATGAGGAGCTCTGAGGAGCAACAGCTTTGCAGGTCTCCCGTCGCGTGGGGTCGCATCGTGGTGTTCTGCTGAAAGCAAAGGGCAAAGCTTCCCCAGCCAGAGTTACTGCCATTGCTCCTGCACTGCTGGCCATGATTGATGGTGGAGCACAGCTGGCAGGAGGCCTGGAGTGCCGGGGAACAGCAATTGGCAGCTGAATGCATTCGGTTCAAATTAGCATCATTGAAATTCTTTTCAAATTGTTTGATTTCACCAGCGGGAATGGAATCGGGTTTGATACAATGGGGGAAAGGAAATGGTGTTTTTGTAACGTTATGAATCTGAAGCCGACGATGACAGGAGCAGAAAATTTCATTTGGTGATCATCAGAATGATGTGTCGTGGAGCACTCGGAGTCGGAAGCAGGGACATGGATTGCTGGCCAGCCCTGCTTTTGGATGGGAAAACCAATGGGGTGTAGTCAAGTAGGACGTGCCGGGGTCAGCTATGTGCAGGAGCAACGCGTGAGAAACCTTATATCCTCTGTGGGCAGCTCATGGGTTCTCAGTGACTCCTTTCCTCATTGTTTTTCAATCTGAGTTTAATTACCTGTGGTTCCGGGGGGATCTGCTGCATTCCAAATATCGGGCTTAATTCCACAGTGCTCAGGCGGTTCTGCACATTTGAACTTGTTTTGGACTTTGTCCCTGTGAACCTGTGTCTGTGTTTTGGTTTCATTGGTTTTTGAGATCTAAACTCCGGCCTGGCAGGGAACAAATTCCATCTTCTGAACACTTGCTGATATTTAGTAGGTGGTTTTATCATCTTAATGCCTGGCGATGTGGTACCAAGGGACGTGGTTTAGTGGGGATATGTTGGTGGTAGGTGGAGGGTTGGGCTGGATGGTCTTGGAGGTCTTTTCCTTTCCACTTCTGATGGTGCTTCATGCAAAGTACTGATGGGGAGTAGTGAGTGCTGCTATGGAGGCTTACAGCAACCAATCAAACCAAAAGCCATTATTGGATGGAACTCGTCAGGACAGCCAGAGTGTCCCACGTGCCTTTGGGTAGATGGAGGCAAGCTAATATTTTATAGCCTCAGTAGGATGCAACATCAAAGCTGATGTTTGATAGGTGGTGATGGAGGGTAAGATTCAACAGGTTGGCAGGATTAAATGCCTTCCAAAGCTCCACATACTGCCCTGGGGTCTGAGCTGAGAACTGCAGGCACTGAGGGACACAGTCAGTGGGCATGGTGGGGTTGGCTTGGGGATCTTGGAGCTCTTTTCCAAGCACGACTCTGTGATGGTTGTTCCATGTCAGTGGTGACTGCGGGGCCGTGGTAAGACATTGAGCACCTGCTTTGTCCCTCACTGTTTTGGGTATGTCTGGATCCATGTTTAATTCTGACCTTGAGTTGCCTGGGTAGGTGATGATGGCTTTGAGGATGCAAGTTTCTTTGCAAGGTTTGCTCTGTGGATGTGAAGGACAGCAGAGGGACTCAGTGTGGCTTAAGGTGGCCCTGCATGTGGCAGGGGTTGGAGTGTGATGATCCTTGAGGTCCCTTCCAACCAAGCCATTCTGTGATGCTACTGGAAGCGTGTGAGGATGGAGAGGAAGTGGTGGGTGGGATGGAAACATGGGGTTGGAGGGACAGCATCCCCTGAGGCAGCTCTGGCTCTCCTGCTGCAAGTTGCTTTAGCACAAGCCAGCATTCTTTGGGGCATTTGATCGCTTTCTGTGGGATGAATGGTGATAAGTGGAGACGTGGCGTGTGACAGCTGCAGCCTCATTGGGAAATCCTGTCCCTGTTCTTCACTTTAAATGCAAACACATGAGCATCACCCCAAGCCACTGAGCTGAGTGGGTCCCTGTGTTACAGGGGACGGAAGGGCCTTTTGTTGCCTTCCCCCCCAAAACAAGCAGTTTGTGTTGTGTTCTTAATTATCCCCATCTCTGAAATTTGGTAACTTTGTGTCATCTTCTGCAGTGTGTGAGGAAATTGTTTTTGCTTTGTGAACATGTTTTAAAGTCAGCTAAATCTTACTGCGTTCCCTTTCAGTGTTTGTCAGGGCTCTCCAAAGGTCCCATGTGTGCCTGGTTCCAAACCCAGCACAGGCTGTCACGTGGGCCAGATCCCCCCCCGAGGTCACTGTGGTGTGCAGTTCATTCATTCATCATCTTAGTGACCCTCCTCTGGACCCTCTCCAACATCTCCCCAATCTTGTCCTGTATTGGGGGCCCCAGTACAGAAAGGGAGCTGTTGGAGGGGGTCCAGAGGAGCCACAAAGATGAGCAGAGGGCTGG